GGGGCTAGAGAAAGAGAGTTCAGGGGCTGGAGAGAAGGTTCAGTGGTTAAGAGTGCTTGCTGCTCCTCCAGAGAACCTGTGTTTGGATCCCAGCATCAAACTAATAAGCCAGGTGAGGGCCTGTGTGGGCACCTCTTAGCCCAGTGTTGTGAGGAGCAGAGACAGGGGGGTCACTAGGGCTTGCTGGCCACCAGCCTAGCCAAAAACCAGGCAGGGTTGGAGAATGATAGAAGAGGACACCCAAGGCCAGCTTTGACTACATAGTAATTTTGAAGATAGCCTCTGGTACATGAGACCCTGTCTCCAAACAACAATAGCAACAAACCAATGTTCCAGAGATGAATGTTGGGGGTGGGGGGGCGGAGAGGAAAAAAAAAAGCAGGCTTTGTTAATGCCAGCAGACCAGAGAGGAGGCCAACTGTGGCCTCAAGCCCTCAGGGATTTTCATATGAGGATCAGTCAGGGGCAGTGTGCAGGAGAGCCTGGTTAGGGTTCTGGTGCAGACTGTAGGTGGTCTTATCTTGAAGGCAGAATGATCCAACTTGCCGACAGTTTTTTGGTCATCACCTGGTTTCTGGAATCAGCTCAGGAAGAAATCAGGGTCACAGGGATGCAGAGTAAAGGCCAGTACAGAAACACAGCAATATCATATAACAAGCTCCCCCACCACACCCCCCACACCCCGCCCCAGTTTTTCTCCTGTTTTCTCAAGAAGTGTCCTCAGGGCCCCACGCAGCCACCAGATGGCGACATGGCCTTGGTAGAGCAGATGCTCCCACACCCTTCCGGGCAACAGTGCAGTTGTGTACTAGCTATGTAGGACTGAATCAGCAAGGGGCACAGAGGAACTTCACCAAGGCTGGTGGGTAGTGCCCACAGGAGAAAGAGAAGGTGCTCACCACACTGGCAAGGAAACAGATGCCCAGCTGCTTAGGAAGCAGGTCAGTCAATCTAATCCCAGAGCCTATATCCAGTCACATCCACACAATCATCACTCCAGCCACCCTGAGGGGGTAGCATCTCCTTCAGAGGGCTTTTAGCGTGAGAGCTGCACCCACAGCAGGAGTGCACAGTGCAGGATACTCAAGATGAGGGCCCAGCCTCCAATGCATGGGGATCCCTCAGATCACCCACAAAGTGGTGTGGAGTGTGTGTGTGTGTGTTATGGTGTATGTGTTGTGGTATGTGATGTGGTTGTGTATATGGTGTGTTGTGTTGTGGTGTGTGTGGTGTGGTATGTGCCATGCATTTCCAGGGTGCCAGAGCGCTAACATTCAGGCACTAAACTGCACCCCATTTTGTAGTCATGACAGGAGTTTTTATATATCCTGGTGAAACATATGAAGCATTCAACTGGAACTGCTTTTCTTTTTTACTTATTAGGGGGATTTCATTTTTTAAAAAATCCCCAAAGTTTGTGGGCAATACTCTAAAATACAGTAAAAACTAGCAAGAGTTTTAGTTATACACTTTGTTGGCATAATGTAGTGGTTCTTTCAGTGAGAGCAAAGGCTCTCCAGAATTTTCCACATAATTGTACAGTGTCTCCTCTACTTTTTTATTTTTAAACTTAAAAAATTTTATGTCAGGCGTGGTGGCGCATGCCTTTAATCCCAGCACTCAGGAAGCAGAGGCAGGCAGATCTCTGTGAGTTCAAGGTCAGCCTGGTCTACATAGCGAGTTCCAGGCCAGCTGGGGCTACAGGGAGGCCCTGTCCCCCCGCCCAAAAAAAAAGACCAAAAAAATTTTTATGTGTATCAGTGTTTTGTTTGTATGAATCTTACCACCACATGAGTGCAATGCCTGTAGAGGCCAGAAGAGGGCATCAGATCCCCTGCAACTGGAATTAAGGATGGTTGTTAGTCACCTTGTGCATGCTAGGAACTGAACCCAGGTCCTGTGCAAGAGCAGTCACTGCTCTTAACCGCTGAGCCATCTCTCCTGTCCCCCACTTTGGGGGGGGATGGGTTCAGACGGAGTCTCCCTTTAGCCCCAGCTGGCCTAGAACTCACTATGTAGACCAGGCTGGCCTCTACCTCAAAGAGATGTGCCTGCCTCTGAGTACTGGGATTAAAGGTGTGCACCACCACACTGGGTTCCCCCCACCACCAATTTTTTAGAAGTTCTTATTGTAATACACTGAGGCACAGAGGTAAGGGATGGTATGGGGTCAGAATACAGGGACACAACTTTTTTTAAAGACAGGTTTCACTATGCAGTCCTGGCTGGCCTGGAACTCACTATGTACAACAGGCTGACCTCAAACTCACAGGGATCTGCAAGCCTCTGTCTGCTGAATGCTGGGATTAAAAGTGTGCCAGGGCTGGAGAGATGGCTCAGCAGTTAACAGCACTGACTGCTCTTGCAGAGGACCAGGGTTCGATTCCCAGCATCCATATGGCAGCTAACACTTGTTCGTAACACCAGTTCTAGGGATCTGACACTTTCTTCACCGAGGGCACTGCATGACACGGGTGCACTTACATATATGTAGGCAGTATACTCATACAAGTAAAAATAATAAATAAAATTTTTTTTCGTCTTTTTGAGATAGGGTCTCCCTGTAGCCTCAGCTGTCTTGAACTCACAGAGATCCACTTGCCTCTGCCTCCCGAGTGCTGGGATTAAAGGTGTGTGCCACCACACCCAGCCATTTTTTTAATTTTTAAAATATATTTTATTTAAGTAGGCGGATGTCTGTGACATCAAGGCCAGCCTGGTCTACATAGTGAGCTCCAGGTGAGCTGGGGCTACAGGGAGACCCTGTCTCAAAAAGGCCAAAATAAATAAATAAATAAAATATAATTTTTTTAAAAGTCTGTGTCACAATGCCCAGCTGAAACCACTTTTAGATGTGCAGCTCAGTTTACTCCACACATCTTGTTGCTGTGTGGCCATCACCATGGCTATCTCCAGGTGGACTGGATGTGTTCTCCAAGTGTCACATGTAACTGTCCTCTCCCCCAAGGGGCTGGGTTAAGAGGTAAGAGGCCATCAGAGGCAATGAGGTCTTAGGTGGAATGGGTGAGGTCAGTGTCCTCATGGTGGAAGCTGAGGTAAGCTGGTTGCCTATCCCTTTGAGGACACATCTGTGAATGGAAGCCTTACCAGCCCCAAGTTGTTCAGTGTCTTGGCCCCAGACTTCAGCCTCCACATAAGTAAATGAGTTTGTCTATAGCTGTCTGTCCATGGCATTTTGTTACAGTGGCTGTTCCAGTTTACTTTCTGTTGCTGTGATAAAACATTGACCAAATGCCACTTGGGGAGGAAATGGGTTTATTTCAGCTTACAGGTCACAGTCTTGTCATCGAGAAGTCAAGGCAGGAATCTTGAGATAGAACTAAAGCAGAGACCACGGAGGAACACTACTTACTGTTTTCTTCCCCTGGCTTGCCAGCTACCATCTTACACAACCCAGGCCCACTTGCTCAAGGCTGGCACCACTCTCAGTAGGCTGGGCCTTCCTATGCCAATTAACAGTCAAGAAAATGCCGCACAGACATGCCAATAGGCCAGTCTGTTGGAGGAAATTCCTCAATTGAGATTCCTTCTTCCCAGATGATTCTAGTTTGTGTTAAATTGATTAAAAAACTAACTGGTACAGCACCCTTCGTGGATAAAGGTCACTCCAATTGGGACTCTGTCCACTAACCTGACATTCAAAAAAACGTTCCAGGATGAAAAGCTGAAATCATGCACTTAACCTCAGAAGAGCTCCGGAGACTCTGTCTCCTGTGTGATTAACCTCAGAAAAGAGC